GACGAGGAAGACCGAGGTGCAATGACAAAACGCATCCGACAGGGGGATAAAGAAGTATTCATGTTTACCTCGGAGACCTCCGGTTCTGACCCTGCTGAAATTTCCTGAGGATGTAAGCGAGATAGATCTCCTGAACCAATGCAAATCACTGTCCATCAGGTCAATACCAACAACTCCCGGAGTACATTGTCCCGCCGACAGGTTAAGGCGTATGCCCGACAAGCTCACAACTCCGGTAAACAGGTTTACACTACCGATTTGAGAGATGTTCTCAACAATCGGAATTGCCCAATAACCTTCAATATGGAGGACGCGAATCATTTCGCTCATCCTCATTCTGACGCCCTGGTCATTACCGTTCCAATATGTGGTATCCCGGTTCATCGTGTCATGGTGGACACTGGGGCCTATTCAAGTATCTTGATGCTGAAATCTTTTGACAAGATGAGTCTTGACCCCGCCGAGATCAGACCTTGCAACGACCAAATCCAGGGGTTTAATGGCAGTATTTCAAAACCCATCAGAGAAATCACTTTGCCTGTCCGATTTGGCACCTCGGAGAATGTCACCAAACTCGTCATGGAGACTTTTAAAGTTATGGATATTAATAACGAGTACAACGCCATCATCGGCAGAACGACGTTGTACAAACTTCGGGCTGCAGTCTCTATCTTTCACTACGCGTTAAAATTCCCGACAACCCGGGGAGAAGGAACCCACTTCGGAGATCAGAGAGAAGCTCGACAACTTGTTACGTTCATCCCATCTAATGGAGTTCACTCAGTTTCAACAAGTAACAATGAAACCTCCCCACAACATCACTCTCCGAACGATGCGATGACCGAAGAACCGAGCAACCACGTCGGTGAGCCTTCCACCTCGGATCCTTTAACCGAAGACCGAGGACGCCGACCTAGAAAAGAGCCCCTCCTTGAAGAAGACGAGCTGGATCCCCGAGCATTGTTTAAAGAAAAAAGTCGACCTGATCGAGCCGAACCTGGAGAAGACGTGGAGTTAGTCTATATTGACGAACCAGTCTTCCACAAGTCATTACGTATCGGAAGTCATCTTCAGGAACCACTTCGGTCAGAACTTATTGCGTTTCTCAAGCAGAATTCTGATGTCTTTGCCTGGAAGCACGAGGACATGAAGGGCATCGACCCCGGTGTCGCTAGACACAAATTAAACCTCGATCGAACAGTCCGGCCTGTTGTACAAAAGAGAAGGAAACTGGGGCCGGATCGTCAGAAGGCATTGGAAGAAGAAGTCAAAAAACTCGTTGACAATAAATTCATCAAGGAAGCCAAATACCCGACGTGGGTCTCAAATCCAGTTTTCGTTAAAAAGAGTAACGGGTTGTGGAGATTATGTATTGATTTTTCCGACCTCAACAAGGCGTGCCCAAAAGACAGTTATCCGCTTCCCCACATAGATTATATGGTTGACGCCACGTCGGGACATGAGTTGATGAGTTTTACGGACGCTTACTCCGGCTACAACCAGATTCCTATGGACCCCGAGGACTCCGAACACACTTCATTCTATTCGGCCAGAGGTTTGTATTGTTACACTATGATGCCGTTCGGATTAAAGAACGCCGGAGCCACATATCAACGTCTTGTCAACAAAATGTTCGCAACATTGATCGGACACACTATGGAAGTTTATGTTGATGACATGCTCGTCAAGTCGGTGCACGCCTCTGATCATATAACGCATCTTCGAGACATATTCGCCATCCTCCGATGTTTTTCCATGGTGCTGAATCCGAAGAAATGCACTTTTGGAGTTGAATCCGGAAAGTTTCTAGGCTATATGGTTAGCCAGCGCGGGATAGAAGCCAATCCGGCCAAAATAAATGCCATTCAAGATCTAACTCCCCCAACCTCGGTCAAGGGTGTCCAGGCCCTAACTGG